TGGAACACATGCTTTGAAAATCAAGAAAATATATAGAACTTCCTTCGTAACATGTACCCACAAGTTGAATTATGTGTGGTACTTAAACCAGTATACAGAATAAGGAACTATTTTGTATTCAAAGACAGAATTTGCAATGCAGACCAATCACAAATCATTTACAGATATCAGTGCTCTGTCTGTAATAGGGTTGATGGTGAGGATGTTTAGTGATAGAGTTAAAGAACATAGTGTGTCAAGGTATGTGGAATTCTCAAACATTTTCCAGCACAAAGAAAAATGTGTGAATGTAAATGTAGAAATTGAACAGTTCTAAGTTATCGAAAAGGCTGAAAATGAGCAGTGGCTAAGGCTAAAAGAAACATTAACCATAAAGAACTTAGCACCTGAACTAAACAAGAAATCCAGCACCAGTGAGCTGATGTTAAAAGTGAGACAAGAGAGAAAAAAATCACATGTTCTCATATCATAAATTAAACTATTTTTGCATAAAATTTATATACATAACAGGCAATTGGCATGACCAAGTAATTTTCATAGTTAAGTACCCCATCATAAAAACTGTATGACTTATATCAAAATGTTCTTTAGGGTCCCCTGATGAATATTTGCTCTGTTGTCCTCATTTACCGATGAGATAAAGTGATGAAAATGAGTTGGAAACAGACCAACCCCCAAGTCTCCTTATAAGGCTAACAGTACTTTAATATGCATGTATCATACATGAAAGGGTGCCACAATGACTTATCATCAGTAAACCATATTGTTATATCTCAAGAGGAATCAAAACAGGAGGCTTCAGAACACACCTACTAATGATTTGAAACAAAACTACTTCTTAACTGATTTTCCAAAGTGCATTTTATTGCAGTTTGCAACCAATGATTGAAAAAACCACAATAAAACTACGTAAACCATTTTGAACTTAGATAGATAATAAAATGTTTATAAAATACCCAAATCAATGCCCTATTCCTTGTGTTTATTGTATGTTCCTAAAGGATTACTTCAAAGTATTCGTAAGAGACCTACCTTAATTATATAAGCAATCGAGCAATATGTCCTATCAATAAATTCAATCGTATCTATGCCAACATTATTTATTTCCACTTATATTATTTGAATTTTACTACTGCTGTCGGTACACTTTCTGTTATCTATCAATTAAACATTTGACCAGTAAGTTTAACAGAATGACTGTTAATTTGGTATCTAAACAGACCACTCTAAATACTATCTATGAAATAATTTTATTTACATGCTGAGATATATTATTGGATATATCAGATCTTTAATGGTTCCTAGTTTTCTGAATGTTAACAGCTGTTTATCAATCTTACTCTCCTTATTCATGTCTTTCAGCTAATTTACTTTTTTGTCTTCCAAGACATATTCTGTTATCTTAGAAATATAGATTACATCTAGATTTTATGTAGATAATACTTTCTTGCAGTTTGTAAAATCTTAATAAAGTCCAAATAGTTATCAAACATTTCTTAAGAAAGAACTATATTTTATCTGTTATTTTCAATAATTTTCACAAATTATAACATGAA